ATAGGCAAGTACTCTATCACTAAGCTATAAACCCAGTCTCTCAAGTTTTTCTTAAATGAATGCTCTTAAGGTTGCTGACAGCCATTAAGGTGCAAGACTTCTGTGAAAGTAGATTCTGAATATCTATATACTTTAGTTGTAGATGGACATAATACCTTTATTTATCTTTATGTGGTGCTGAGGGTGGAACTCAGGGCCCCACACACGTGAGACAAGCACTCTACCATTGAGTCATAACCCTGGCCCAATTCTGAAAATTTTTACCAGTTTATCACTACTTTTGTGGCAAGGCAAAATTTGAGGTCCTTACTCTGTCATTTTCACTGATATCACTGGAAAAACTTCTGACTATTTATAGTGTTTTAGGGTCCTGTTCCTCTTAATCACTAAACTGCAGGCAGCTGAGGTCCTTTTTCCTCCATGTCCTTAACACATACACTGGCTACTCAGGTGCAAGGAGGGACAAAGCTCTCCTCCAGAAGCATCCTCTCCTTGACTTCCTACATTCACATTCTCTTGAATTTCAGCACAAGTAACTTTTCTTTCACATATGCCAAGTCCTGCTGTCTCAGTGACAGAAACTGGTGCTTAAACCACTAAACCAGTCCTCGTTTCTAGTTAAAGGACAAATGATTATTGGGTTAACTTATTATATGCACTTGGGTTAACCTCACTCATAATCCTCAGGTTTGCTTTGGTGAATAAGCTCAGCATCTCATCTGTCCTTTCCTGCTTTTATTAGTCTGTTACTTCAAACACTCTACTTAGCAAAAAATCATTTCATCTTCCATCAGAAATGTGTTTGTGTAATCCTATAATGCATAAACACAAGCCATCGTTTTATCCTCAAGGACCTCTCCCAAACACTAGAACCCAAACAGTTCTCAGTTACTGTCATCTTTCTCTGCCTAACAATCACCTGGAATCATCTTGTCTGTATTCCTGACTGAAATATAAGTGTCCCAAGGGTAGGGACTTTATCTGGCTCATCGTTAGGTTCCCAGGGTATCTCCAGTATATTTAAACAGTGCCTGCCACAGAGCATGTGCTTAAGAAATGTTTATTGAAGGAATAAACAGGCTTCAAAAATGAAAATTTAATTTAAAGAAAGTTTAGAGAAGGGCAAAGAGAGCCAGGTATGGTGGTGCATGCCTATAATTGTAGCAACTTGGGAGGCTGAGGCAAGAAGAAAGTAAGTTCTCAAGGCCAGTCTGGGGAACTTAGCAGGACCCTCAGTGAGGTAGTGAGACTCACTAATAAAAAAATAAAAAGAACTGGGGATGTAGCTCAGTGGTAGAGCACACTTGGGTTTAAATCTCAGTAAGGGGAAAAAGGGTAAAGAGAGAAAGAATTACTATTTTCTCAAATTAACTTTCTCTGTATTTCAGTTCTCATTAAGATAGTAGACAAAATCAAGAGGGGATAACCACAAGGAAATGACAAATAGCACAAAAGAAGAATGAAGCAGAGGGATGGAAGAAATGATCTAGACAGAACATATAATTTTATATTATCAGCATTTTTTGTTTTGTTTGGTCTTAACAAGTAGTCACTGGCCAAACCTTACCATCTTCCTTTAGAGCAGGATCTGCTTTGGAGGGATGGCCACAGTTAAGACACCAGAGAGGGGACTGATGTTACTTTCTTCTGGAGACTGAAGTGGACAAGAGGTCGGTCCTCTACCTTAGGAAAAGAGCAGATTCAACAACTAACTGATCAGTCAGTCCTGCACTGCCAAGAATGATCTTTCCAACTCAAAATACATTTTTGCTATCATGCTTTATATCTGGACCACCCACACTAGAAGAATAGCACAAAAAGGGTAGGAACAGGCACAAAGAAAGACTACCGAGCATGCCCATGAAAAAACTGAAAACAGCAACAAACTGGTTGGCTCAGTTCAGGGGTATGTAAATTGTGGAAACTGAACCCAAACTATCCTCCCCCAAATGGTAAAGAATACTGCCCCACCCCATGGAAACTGGCTTGGCTACATGACTTGCTACGGCCAGCAGTCATCAGCAGAGGTGATGCACACAGAGGTACAAACCATGTTGGTGTGTGGTCAAGCTTGCCTTCCTGATTCCTACCATGATCGTGAGAGCTTCTGTATAACTTTTGTACTTCAGCCCAGGTCCAAGGATGTGCACAGATGGAGCAGACTGAAGTCTACCTTCTAACGGGTGGCAAAGCCCCATGGAAGCCCCAGCTTGAAGCAGAGTCACTCAGATAAGCCTATGTCAGCCAACCTGCAAAGGCATGAGTGAGAATGATTATTTTAGGCAATTGAGATGCAGGTGGTTAGACAGCAACTGAAACATAAGTAGGTTCTTTGAGGATGAGCTAAGACTCCTGCTCTACTACTGTATGCCTAGAGCCTTGAACAATTCCTGGTACACAGCAGGTATTCAATAAACATCGGTTGTGGTCAGATTTGTGTTTCTTCTAAAGATAGTAACACCTCAGAGAATAAAACAGAAAGAACTTATATAATTTAGTAGTCGATTATGTGTCCCAACTTCAAAATGACCAATTTCAACCAGAAAGCCTGTGAGAAGTCGTCAGTAGCTTAAAAACAGACTATAGAAACAACTACTTGGATCTGTCTAGTTTCACAAATTATCAGCCAGGTGATCTTGGGTACAAGTTAATTATTTCTCTTTTCTTCATCTGTTAAATGGTGTTATTAATAGTACCTACCTCTTAAGACACTTGTGTGGATTAAGAGACAACGTTTTTCAAACATTTACAACCTTGCCTGGTACATCATAAATGCTGTATAGGCATTTTCATATTAATACTTGAACAGAGATGATTTTAAGTAATTAGAGTACTTTTCACATGCCCCTCCAATCACCTATTTTTATCTATGGGTTCTTACTTCTATTATCTAATCTCTATACATATTTAAAACCAGCTCTTTTGTAAGTTTCATGATTTTCCCTATGTTAAGGAATGCTAGGTACTGGTATGTACTCCCATCACAAACTGAAACTCCACCAACCATTTTAAGAATTTCTGGTTTCGGTTTCTTCACCTAGGATATTGTTTGACCTTCTCAACCTGCTAAAATCTTGTTTGATGTCCAGCCTTTGTGGCCTCTTCCATGATGCCTATTCTGTTATTCCCTCTCAAAGTGATATTTTTTATCTTTTTATTTTCTAATCTTCCTTAGCAATTCATCTCTACCTCAATCATACTTTTATTACTTTGATCTTTCCTTGATAAAATTGTAAGCTTCTAAAGGACACCATCACAATTTTTAGTCTTTCTGTCCATTCTCACCCCTCAAGTACACAGCAGGTAAGCAACAAATTTCTTTTTAATTAATATATTTGAAAATTTCAGTTAGGTTCATCTAACGTTTTAAACAGCTTTAATGAGAAGCCATTAAATCTTAAAGAAAAATATAACTTGTCACAGCCAGATATGGTGATGCATGCCTGTAACCCCAGCAACTTGGGAGGCTAAGGCAGGAAGGATTACAAGTTCAAAGCCAGATTAAGCAATTTAGTGAGGTCCTGTCTCAAAATAAAAAGGGCAGTGGTTAAGTACTTCTGGGTTCAATCCCTGGTACAAAGAACAACAAAAACAAACTTGTCCTAAATGAGCATTAATTACACAGTAAGACAAGGGAAATGTTGCTCATATGTAAAGAAAAAAGACACTTTTTTTAATTGCATTAAAAATTTTATTTAAAATATCCAATATAAGCCAAATTAAACCCCAAATTTACAGCTACATTTTTAGGTCTTCTGAACTAAATGGCACTGTTTTGAGTTGAATGTCCTTTTAAAGGAGGTCTTTGCTTTTACCATCATTTCCCCGAGTTGTTTCTGAGTAGAAGCTGGTATAATACACATCAGAGATTTCAGATGTCACCTTTCATGCAGAGGTTAAAAAAAGCAAACAGGCTTTTCCATTCTGTATGAGATAAGAAACACAACAGAACAGGCCTGAATGCTTTTGACAATGAGGTGTAACTATAAAGAAATTTACTGTGGTTCTGTGTCTGCTCATTCAAGTAGCTCATGTTCTTATTCCAAATACTGATGCAGTTCAAATATTATTTCGAACAGTACACTGCAATCCCCCTCATCAAGAGTGTATCAGAGAAAATGGTTGCACAAGTTGGGGGACAGACTGTCACATGTGTGATTAAAAAGCAACAGAAAAGTTGTCCTAGTGGGCAGGCAATCCAAGAATTTCTCAAATTTTTCAGTAATGGCATCATTTACATAGAGTGATGCAGGATCTAGTTCTAGTATGTGTGAATATAAATGAAAAAGACTCGTTACTTTATAGCTACACCCTGGATTTCATTAGATGTGGTAAATCTAAGAGTGTGTCTGATGAGTCCTTCTGGAAATCATTTCAGCAAAGGAGTCAACCTGTGAAAGAGAAGACATGGCAGAGGGAGGGAGACTCATCCTTCCAACATTCTCTCAGAGGACAGACCTGAGCCCAAGGACAGAAGTTACCAGGAGGGAGGCGTCAACTCCATCTAAGGAAGACCTTTCTAACAGTTAGAGCTGCTCAACAACTGAATGGACTGCTTGGTGAGGTAGAGTCACTGGAAGTATTCAAGGTGGAAAGATCACCCTTGTAGAAGGGACTCCTGCATTTGTTAAGAGGTTAGACTGGATGAACCTCAGGTCTCTTTCAATTCTGAGATTCTAGAAAACTCCCTCAGGGAATTCAGAAGAGAATTCCTAAAAGGAAAGAGAAAGCACACATATGTATACTTTTAGAATCCTCTTGAGTTTTCTTATTTTTCAAAAGGTACAATAGAAAATGTAGTCTACTGTCTTTAAAATGCATATTTACCTTCCTACCACTAAAAATTAGGAAGGTTAATTATGATTTCTTTATATTATAAAGAAAAATGGATGATTATAATCTTTGTAAATATTTTAGAAAAAAGGCTTAAAATCTAGTAATCAATGCCCTAGAAACTTTATAGATTTTTTTTTAAGATAATATGCACAGATACAAATACATTATTCATTAAATACAACTCACATCTGTGTTTTATTATACTCTAAAATATACAGGAATCTTGATGTACTGAAAGAGTGCAAGTAAATACAGTATTCAAGCAGTCACTATTTCTATGTACATGCTCATTAATTTTTCAAAAAACCCACAAAATTATCAAATAGATCAAAATACTGTTCTGTGTTTTCACACTTTATATTCAGAAAACCAGCTGATAATTTACAATGTCATAAAGTTTCCAGTTTCACAATACAAAAGGATAAAATAAAATTGGGTATCATTTTGCTGCAATTTATGGACTTTACCCAGACCTCTAAGACCCCCTACATAGGTGAAATCATTTTTACTGGGAAAGTGACAGTTACAGTAAAATCAGAACCACATAAAGTATTAGTCCAAATATCAGCCTTTTCTCTTTTTTTTGTTACTTGAAAGGTAGCCTTCAATTTGGCAGGCAAGTGCTTCTCCCTCCAAAGAGTAACAAGTTACCAACATGCTACTCCATATCTGAACCTTGCCTAATACAGAAATGCCTTCCAAGAGACTTGATGATGTTTAATTTATGAATAACAAGGGAATATTTCCTTTTGATTCTGTACTTTTTCAAAACTCAAAGATCAAATAAATGACAACAAAAATCCTCTAACCCATTATGGAGGTACAAAAGTAATGTAAGTGACGAATCAGTGTCATTCAAAGTAGTGAAGTTGACTTTCATTCCCCAGGACCACTTAATTGCAATAGGGTGAAATAATCTACCTTTTGATTCCATGAAGTTTTTATTCTAGGAAATTCCTTACCTTTTTAAAAAACAAAAATAGTTCCATTGTGAACCCAAACCACTAAAATCTGTCCAACAGCCCCAACCCCAATCCATCTCATGTCTATTTCACAAGTATTTTCACCCGTACTGCACCCAGTCAGCTGGTTTTCAATTCTAATATTATAAAAATTGGAATTTTAAAATTTTTATGCAAAAGAAAAAAATGCAAAAATACATCTGCTTTCTTTCATGGTTTAATACAGTATTGGAAGGCTTTCAAGATGTTTTCTTTAAAAAAAAATCAACATTTAAAACCAAATTTTGACTTCATTTTCAGAAATATTGAAGTTTGGTTTAGGTAACGTCTCATTTCACCTACTCCAGTTTCCACAAAATGGCATTCTATTAAAAAATCTTTAAGTTATTTGGTCCTTTGGCAATTTGCTGTGCACATAATGCCTACTGTACCAAACTTTTATTGCCTTTAAATTTAGTTGTACTTTTATTGATAATTTTAAATCTAGTGTCCTTATCTCTTCTTTTACAATAGTGTTGCTTGTGTAAGCAGGTTAGGGTGCACAGTGTCCCAAATTATTTCTGGCACTGCAAAGCCAAATTAAAAATTCCACAAAGCAATCTGACATCAATGTGTTTTCCTCTGGTCAAGTCTATTTCAATAATCTAGAAGTTCCTTTTGCAAAACTTGCCTTTAAAATTCTTCTTCCTAATGTCATCGCATTTCTTACATTTGCTCACTGTGCGCTCTTTCCTCTTAGGTTGAATATGAATAACAAAGTGCTTTTTTCCTGAAAAAGCAGTTTGCAGCTTTAGTGTCAGAACTCCTTCCTTAGATCTTTTGCTTAGCCTCTCAGTAGGTCTCAGAATCAGAGTCATTGAGCTCATCGACGTCGGTGTATAAGTACTCCTGTTCCCCACCAATATTGTTGAAACTGCAGTAGGAGCTAGGTTCATTCCTCATGATAGGCAAGGCTTCAAAGCTCACTGTTTTTGAGGTGTTGGTATAACGGTTAATAGCATTGAACGTCAGGGATGATAAAGGGCTACTAGATGAGACAGGCATCATGGTGGCCAAAATGAGAGCCAGGCAATCAGCCACATCCTTATTGGGAGCACAGGCCAAAGCTGGAGTATAGCCTAGAATTAAAGATAAAATAAAAAAATTAACATTGTGAAACCTACTTCATTAAATATATGAACATGTCTAATGGTTTCCAACTTGGGATAATTTAAATTATTTGGTTTATAATAAATTGTCACCAGAATGATTTGCAACTTTCCAATAAATAGAAAGAAAAGCACCATAAAAATCTAGGGTGGGAGGAGACCTTACAGACTAACAGAAGAAGCAGCTGAGCCAGAGATACAGATTTCCTAAAGATCTCACAATATATCCATATACAACTAAATTCATAGAAAATATTGGGTTAGAATAAGGAAAACAAATAACACAAATAAACAACAACAAAACAAACAACCCCCCAAGATCAAGAAATCTTTCATTAGATGGTGAACAAAGGCATACTATTAATTCAGAGTTATATAAGTAAATCTTTATGTGCTGAGAAATCTAAATGTGTATAGATCCATGAACAAGGCACTAGGCAGATACTAGAAAAATATATATTAAAAGAATGACACTTGGTTGTCAATTTAACTTTTCTCTTGGGAGTTTTCATCCATTGAAGAAAACAGTAGGTAAACTTTAAAAAACTTCTAATCCAAGACAAATGAATTTTTTATAACTTTATTTATTTTTTTTAAAGCAGAAGACAACTGACATTAGACACAGGCCCTGTAAGTATTAATATAGCAAAGGCAGGAGGAAAGATCTAGTACCTTTGTTGGTATAAAACCCAGCCTTGAGGATGGAATAAGAGAGAAGATGTTAATAATACACTGTGTGAAGGCCAGATATGGTGGCGGATGCCTGTAATCCCAGCAGCTTGGGAGGTAGAAGCAGGAGGATTTCGAGTTCAAAGCCAGCCTCAGCAATTTAGCGAGGTGCTAAGCAACTCACTGAGACCCTGTCTCTAATAAAAAACAAAACAGGGCTAGGGATGTTGTGGCTCAGTGGTTGAGTGCCCCTGAGTTCAATCCCTGGTACCCTCCCCACCACAAAAAAAGACTATACTATGTGATGGCCAGTTTCAATTATTCCATGTGGAAGTTTTAGTTCACATTTACTGTTTTAACTTATGTGAAGTCAATAGGCATTTAAGCTGCAAATATTTAAAAACTTTAACCTATTATGATTTGTTGCACATCTAAACATTCCCTATTACTACATTTACATTTTAGTATTCATACGCATATGTGCATATTTATTTCAAAAGCCACATTTGTTCTTTAAATAGCAGATTGATTTATCACAAAATAAACTTTTGTATAACTGTAATACAGGTCAAGAAAGAGAACATACGAACAGATGAGAAGTCCCATATACTTACTCCCTAACATTACCCCTTTTTTCTCCCACCATAGTGACCACAATCCTAGCCTTCTATGTTAACCATTTTCTTGTTACTTCTGGTCATAAATACTAGTTTTGACATTTTCCTTTTTAATGTGTTCTAATTAGTTATACATGACAGCAAAATGCATTTGACACATCATACATAAATGAAGTATAATTTCTCATTTGTCTGATTGTACATGATGTAAAGTTACAGATCAAGTAATCTTATATGCACAAAAGGTAATAATGTCCAATTGCATTCTACTATCATTAGTTTTGAGCTTTAAAAAAATCTAATATAAACTCGATAATACATATTATTTCATTCATGCTATGTTAGCCATGATAAAGAAAACACAATAATATTTTTCCCTTTATGAAATCCCCATTTTTGTCAGGCTGGGGCTGCTAACCTAGCACCCCAGTGAGGCACTGGGTTCAATCCTCAGCACCACATAAAAATAAACAAAGAGGTATTGTATAAAAAACATTTTTAAAAAAATTCCCATTTTTGTCAAAGGAACAACTTAATTACTCTGCCAAGACTGGCAGGGATAGCTGAAGGATGTACATGTTTTTAATTAATTAAACCATATTTGCTCAAATGACTAGGAGAAGGATAGTGTTTCTTTGCCCACACTTCTTTCAAGGGCTCTTCTGAAGAGCTGAAGATGCTGGCTGCTGATGCTCTTGCTGGCAAGCAGACTCATGAGTGTTTTCTAAACAGAATTTGACTAAAAACACACTCCTCTCTTGGTGTAGTCAGCTAAACAGAAATATAAAAGCAGCACACTCTTTGAGGACATTCTGTACAAATGTAACATGTTCTTTCTCCTCCAGAAAAACCACCAAAATGTCACTATCTCCTTCTGAGAGTGAATAACAGGCACAGGATGTACTAGACCCTTCATCTCATCTCTATTTAGACTTCAGAGCCCAATTAATCATCAACTCCAGTGGTTACTTGAACAATTTATAATCACATCACTAGAAATAATTATAAAATGAAACTAGTATTTACCATAACTTGTCAACTCAGGACCACACTTACTATAAAATACTATGAAGTGTGTTACCTTCATGTTTTATTATTATTTTAATTTCATAAAAAGATAAAATCAGATATACAAAATCTTAAAAACGGTTAACAGATCTACATATCAGCAGGCATCCATGATTGACTCAGTGTCTTATTATGTGGCCAAATGTCTTATATATGTTAGCATTAGGCTCCTCATTTTATATTATTTTGGCGGGGGGTGGTACCAGGGATTGAACTTGGGGGCACTTGACCAGTGAACCATTTCCCCAGCTCTATTTTGTATTTTACTTAGAGACAGGTTCTCACTGAGTTGCTTAGCACCTTGCTTTTTTTTGCTGAGGCTTGCTTTAAATTTGAGATCCTCTTGCCTCAGCCTCCATAGGTGCTGGGATTACAGGCATGCACATGTGCCATGGCTTAGGCTTCTCATTTTAATCTATATAGTTAGTAGTTGTATCTCCAAAAACTTAATTCCGATAATGCAAGATTCTTTTAAAGCTAGGTGTGTTTGAAGATGACATCCCTGCCTCTATGGATTTCAAGAAGTACATATGCTATTGCCTCAAACTCTATGTCCAACCTAGATCTTTCTTCTGGACTCCAGATCCAAATATCTAATTTCCTTCTTAGGGTTTCCACTGATTTTTTTCTTCATTTTCCCCAAATGAACTAAAATCTGTCATCCTATATTCTTTACTCAATTAATGATATGTCTATCCACACAAGCACCACAAGTCGGATGGCCTGTGATTTTTTCATCCTCCAAACCTCTTCTCTCCTTGATCAAGACCCATTGAGCCTATCTTAAGATCTTTTTTTTTTTTTTTTTGGTGGTGGTGGGTGTACTGGGAATTGATCTAAGGAGCACTCAACCACTGAGCCACATCCCCAGCCCTATTTTCTATTTTATTTAAAGATAGGGTCTCACTGAGTTGCTTAGCTTTTGCTGAAGTCTGGCTTTGAACTTGTGATCCTCCTGTCTCAGCCTCTTGAGCTCCTGGGATTACAGGCCTGTGCTATCACACCTGACCTATCATAAGATCATTATAAACTATTTACATCTTTTCATCCCTGATGCCTCTACCTTAATTCTGACTACCATCTACATCTGAACTTTTAACTAATTTCCCCATTCTAGTCTTGCTCCCCCTTCAGACTAACTACTATTTTTCTAAAGAACAGATAGATTCCTTATTATTTGATCCAATATTTATATTCACCTCGCGTTAAATCTCTTACTCTCTCAGCTGAAAAACTGCCCTCCCCACTTTACATTTATGCTTTACATTCTGGCTTAGAAATCACTTTTTTTGGGAAGCCTTTTCTCTGATCTTATAAGAAAGGGTTTGAAGAACCTCTGATATATTCTCACTGAACTTTAGGTTAAGTCCAATTAGAGAACTTCAAGTGCACTGTAACAACCTGTTTATACTTTTGTCATTATACGAGTAGAATATGTCTCATTCCACACTGCATCCTTAGAACTTTAGCAGTGCTTGGCATAACCATTCATGCAACAAAATATTCACTGAGCTCCCACTATGTCCAGACATTCTTCTAAGCAGTTAGTATACATTAGTGAATACAAATGACAAAGATTCCTTGATCTTGTGCAGCTTATATTCATTCTACTCAATAAAATAAATCATACACAATACATGAGAAAGTAAGCTCTAGGGAAATTAAGAGGATAGAATAAAGGTTAACAAGGACCAAGAATGTTGTGATAGGAGCATGCAGCAAGTTGTAGTACAAACAGGTAGTTACAAGAGGTTTAATTAAGAAGATGAAATTTGAGCTAAGATTTGAAACAAGTGAAAAATTAAGTCAAAGAATGCCTAGAGGACAGAGTGTTCCAGACAGAGGAAAGAGCCAGAATAAAGATTGTAATGCACACAGAACACTGCAATGGAATCGATGTAACGGAATGATGAGAGAGAAGGAAGAACAGGAAAGTAATGTAGTAAAGGACCACGTAGGTCACTATAAAAACTATAAGTAATTATATGGGTATGTCTCTGTGTCTTCTGTTCCAATGGTCTTCATGTCTGTTTTTATGCCAATACAATGCTGTTTTTGTTACTATAGCTCTGTAGTATAATTTAAGGTCTGGGTATAGTAATGCCTCCTACATCACTTTTCTTGCTAAGTATTGTTTTGGCTATTCTGGGCCTCTTATTTTTCCAAATGAATTTCATAATTGTTTTTTCTATATCCACGAAGAATGCCATTGAAATTTTAATAGAAATGAAATCTGTACATTGCTTTTGGTAGTATGGCCATTTTGAAATATTAATTCTGCCTATCCAAGCACATGGGAGATCTTTCTATTTTCTAAGGTCTTCTTTAATTTCTTTAGTGTTCTGTATCTTCATTGTAGAGGTCTTTCCCCTCTTTTGCTAGACTGATTCCCAAGTATTTTATTATTATTTTTTGGGGGGCTATTGTAAATGGGATAGTTTTCCTGATTTCTCTTTCAGTTGATTCATCATTGGTATACAGGAATGCAATTGGTTTATGGGTGTTAATGAATTCAGCAAAGTAGTAGGATATAAGATTATCTCATAGTAGACAAAGGCACCATAAACATATATTGGAGAAAAGATAGCTTCTACAACAAATGCTACTGGGAAAACTGGAAATCCCTATGTAGTCGATTGAAACTGAACCTCCTATATCTTATCCTGCACAAAACTCAAAGTGGATCAAGGACCTAGGCTTTAGACCAGAGACCCTGCACCTACTAGAAAGTAGGCCCAATGCTCCTTCATATTGACTTAGAAACTGACTTCTTCAATAAGACAGACTCCTAAAGCACAAGAAGTAAAATCCAGAATCAATAAATGGGATGGTATTAAATAAAAAAGCTTCTTTACTGCAAAGGAAACAATCAAGAATGCCAACAGAGGGCCTATAGAATGGGAGAAAATCTTTACCCCCTGCACCTCTGATAGAGCATTAATCTCTAAGACATACAAGGAACTCAAAAAACTTAACACCAAAAAAATCAAATAACCCAATGAATGGGCAATGGGATTGAAAAGACATTTCACAGAAGAAATACGAATGGTCAAAAAATGCATGAAAAAATGTTCAACATCTCTAGCAATTAAAGGATTGCAAATCAAAACTACTTTAAGATTTCACCTCATTCCAGTCAGAATGGCAATCATCAAGAATAAAAGTAACAATAAATGTTGGCAAGGATGTGGGAAGAAAGGTACTCTCATATATTGCCAGTTGGACTGCAAATTGGTGCAACTGCTATGGAAAGCAGTATGGAGATTCCTCGGAAAACTTGGAATGGAATGTCCAGTTTTCCTACTCCTTGGTCTAAACCAAAGGACTTAAAAATCAGCATACTACAGTGACATACTCACATTCATGTTTACAGCAGCTCAACTCACAATAGCCAAGCTATGGAAACAACCTATGTGTCCTTCAACAGATGATTGAATAAAGAAAATGTGGTATATATACCCAATAGAATATTAATCAGCCATAAAGAAAGATGAAATTATGGTATTTGCTGGTAAATGGATGGAACTGGAGAATATCATGCTAAGTGAAATAAGCCAGTACCAAAAAACCAAAGGCTGAACATACTCTTTGATATGTAGATGCTGACCCACAATAAAGGAGGGTAGGGAGGGGAAGAATATAAGTTCACTGGATTAGAAAAAGGGGAATAAAGGGGGATGGGAATAGGAAAGAGAGTAGAATGAGCTGGACATAGCTTTCCTTTGCTCACATATGAACACATGACCAGTGTAACTCCACATGATGTACAACTACAAGAATTGGATCATAATTGGAATAGATAATACTCCACATATGTACTACATGTCAAAATACACTGTCACGTGTATCTAAAAACAACAATAAAAGAACTATGAGTAAACTGACATCCAGAAGAAAAACATGTTCTTATATATATATTTTACTGTATAGTTTTTTTCCCCCAGTACTAGGGATTGATTCCAGGGGCATTTTACCACTGAGCTACATCTCTAGTCCTTTTTGTTTTCTATTTTGAGACAGTGTCTTGCTAAGGTGTCAAGGTTGGCCTTGAACTTGTGATCATCCTGCTTCACCGCTTTAGTCTCCTGAGTTACTGGGATTACAGGTATATGCTACCACACCTGGACCTCGTGTTTTTTAAAAAGGATCCAACAGGGTTGAGGATGTAGCTCAGTGGTAGAGTATGTGTCTAGAATATGTGAGACCATGGTTTAATTCCCAGTACTGAAAAACACACACACCACACACACACACACATACACACACCTCAACAACAACCCACCAATGCGGTATAAATAGAGAAAAAAGTAAGCAAATTGTAGATACATTTTAGAGATGGACTCACTAGTACATGCTGATAAAGTGTACACTAGGTATTATAGCAATCAAGCACAACTCTTAAATTTTTGAGAGCAATATTAAAGAGAGGGATCCCCCCCTGCCAGGATGACTACCACTGTTTTCATGACCTTATTAATTAATTAATTAATATGTAATATTGAGAGAAATCCCTCCCTAGCATGACTACCGTTGTTTTCATGACCCCATCTATCTATCTATCTATAGTGCTGAGGATTGAACACAGTGCCTCATATGTGTAGGCAAGCGCTCCACCACTAAGCAAGAACCCCAGCCCAGGAGAGGAATTTTCTTCAACCTAGATTAGCATGTCTGTGGGGAAAACAAGCTTTGTGATGTGTGTGTGAACATTTGACAGTTCAGACCTAGACTTATTAGGTTTGAAATATTTCTTAGACCTATATGTGCTACTGTCCATTAGGCAGCTGGGTATAGGAAAATAGAGAACATAAAAAGTCTAGGCGGGTAACATAAGTTTTGGAATTCTTAGCATTAAGAATAGTTTTTAGACTGGCTCCTAAAATCCTCCAATATTAAGAAGTTAGGGAGGCTGGGTGCTGTGGTGCACGCCTGTAATCCCAGTGACTTGGGAGGCTGAGGCCTTAAATATTTATGGAGATTTTATCTCAAAATAAAAAAGGACTGGAGATTCAGTGGTAAAAGGCTTCTGGGCTCTGGCTTCAATCCCCCATCAGAGGTAGAGGGGGAGTTAGGAAGAGGGAGAAATTTTGTAAAAGAAATTAGAAACAGTAAACATTAAAGTAGGAGGAAAACCAAGGGAGTATCAAGCCCCCCAAAGAAAGTAAGTTTACCAAAGGTAAATAAAGAGATAATCAATTTTTTCCAAAAGCTGATCTGTTAAATGTACTGAGACCTAGGAATTGACTTAACATCATGGGGTCGATTAGTGATTTTGATGAAAACAGTTTTGCAGGGTGGTAGAGGCAAAGGCCTGACGGTAGAAAGCCAAAGTAGTTCTGCTGCAATAGAAAACAGAAAAAGCAGCAGCTGGCAGCAACAGGATATTAAAAGATTTTTTTTCAAAAGACAATAGAACGAGGGGTTGGGTTGTGGCTCAGTGGTACAGCTCTTGCCTAGCATGCATGAGGCACTGGGTTTGATCCTCAGCACTGAAAAAAAAAAAAGAAATCAAGATACTGTGTCCACCTATAACTAAAAAATAAATATAGAACCAATTATATCTAGGAAGAGAATAAAGAATTCTTGAAGAACACAAAAGGGAAGAACTATTGAAGGTGATATTCTCTGGTAGGAAAAGGTACACGCTCTACTTGTATGAGATGAAAGAATGGCTTTGCATAATAAGACCCTTAAGTAGGGCCCTGATAAGTAATTCTGGAAAGAACAAAAACAATGGCTACTAAGATGAACAATGTTGGTAAGTATAAATGGTAAATACTAACAGATAATATATTTATAAGATAATATGCAAATTTAGAAGTTCATCTCTTAAACTTTTCCTGTTTCTCTTGCCCTTATTCCTTTGCTATGAAGCACAACTCAATATTAATTTCAGCTTTCTTCTTTGCCCTATTAAAAAAATAATAGGGCTGGGAATGTGGCTCAAGTGATAACGTGCTTGCCTGGCATGCGCAGGGCGCTGGGTTCGATCCTCAGCACCACATGAAAATAAAATAAAGTTGTTGTATCCACCAAAAAAACCTGAAAAATAAATATTAAAAATAATTTCTCTCTCTTTAAAAAAATAATAATCCAAGGTTTATTTTACTTTAAATATGTACCATCAAAAGATAAAAGCTTAGTTGGGCATGGTGTTGCACACCTGTGATCCCAGCTACCCATCTACTCAGGAGGCTGAGAGGACGGCAAGTTTGAGGCTGGCCTGGTGCCTCAGTAAGACCATGTCTCAAAATAGAAAGGGCTAGGACTGAAGCTCAGTGGTAAAACACATGTCTAGAATGTTTAGGGCCCTGGGTTCAATCCTTAGTACTGGGGGGGGAAAAAAAAAGACATAAAGTTTTAGCAATATATAGGTTAAAGGAAGAGAATACAGAAATACAGAGCCTACTTACCATTTTCATCTACTGCAAGGACACTTGCTCCTTTCCCCAGAAGTTCTTGAACCACCATTGTTAGCCCATTTCGGGCAGCAACATGCAGAGGTCTGGGGGAAAAATTGTACATGTACATGTATGAACAGTGCACAAAGACACATGCCTGGTTGTAAAGAGCATTACTGCCAAGTGGTAAAGACCCAGAGATATAAACTTGAGATACCTAGTTCTAACCATAATGAAATGGGGGTGAGGACTGCAGATCTTCTGTACAATGTAGTGTCATACACCCCCAATGAGTATAAGCTTAGCCACAGGTTTCAATCTTCATTAAACCCTTTTGTTACACTCTAAGACACAATGTTTAAAAGACTTAATCAATGAAAAGGCATTCTAAAGCTGTTCTAAAACATGAGGTTGACAAACATACATAAAAGAAACTGCAATAGCACAGACTTTGAAAACAGCTCACAGACCCTGTGACTAATTTTTGGGCCCTCAAGGGATCTGACTGACCTCTGAATTTGAACCAGTACTCTTAAATATTTTTTTTCCTTTAACAAAAAGTGGGTTTGTTCGTATTATTAAGAACTTGATTTTGAACATGCTTTTATAGTGAGTGATATATTTATAATTGAAGGAAAATACACTTTCTTTTTTGGTACCAGAGATTGAACCTAGGGGTGCTTAACCACTGAGCCACATCCCCAGCCCTATTTATATTTTATTTAGAAACAGGTTCCTGCTAAGTTGCTTAGCACTGCACTAAATTCCTGAGGCCGCTTTGAATTTGTGATCATCCTGCCTCAGCCTCCTGAGCTGCTGGGATTACAGGCATGCGCCACCCGATCTGGCTCAACTTGACTGACTACTTCCAAAACCTCTTTAGATTATCATTTATTCCTAGCGTCAAATAAGATTTTTACAGGGGAATTCAATAAAATACACAAAATAGTACTACTTTCCTTCAGAAAATTATGCAGGTTAAATAGGTTGTGAAAATATACATTATTGCCAATGTTCTAATACAGTTTCAGTTCAATAGCTTTTCTAGTATTAGGCTTTATTTTTTTTATTTTTTTGTACTGGGGATTGAACCCAGGGGCACCAAGCCACATCCCCAGCCATTTTTTATATTTTTTTGAGAGAAGCTTCCTGAGCCACTGGGATTACAAACATGTGTCACCACACCTGGCATGTAATAAGCTTTTCAATTGTGATGATTTCAGGAATAAGTTTTGTAAGTTGTAAAAACTGTTCTTCACTTTTTAACTGCTTCTATGACTTGTGAGACACATTGGCTACATACTTAAAAAAATTCATTTGTCATTTTAATAATTATAAAAATAAAAATATTTACACTAGATACTGAAAGTACTCACGTTTGCAAGGCTGCATTGGTTGCGTTGATGAGGTTTCTATCTGTTATCTTTTCCAGTATTAACAAGGCACTAGTTTCATGACCCTAAAATTGTGGCAAGCAACTCTTAAAAATTTGAGTACCATTAAAAATAACTTAAACATCCAACAATTCCTAAATGTAGGTCATACTATATGTAATATTATACATATGAATTTTCCTGGCCAATCGCTTAAATATTTGCCCAAACATTTGTTAGGAGTGGAAGTAAGGGGAGAGGACAAGAAGAATTAAGAAACTGTGTTAGGTTTGTCTTCCAAAACTTAATTTAATTTGTGTACATACACACGTATGTACACAAATACACACCCGCCTCTTTCCCTCTCCCCCATACTGGGGATTAAGTCCAGGGGTGCTTCCCAGTGAGCTACACCCCTAGCACTTTTTAATTATTTTTAGATAGTGTCTCACTAAGTTGCCTGGATTGGCTTGAAACTTGCAATCCTCCTGCTTTAGCCTCGTAAGTTGCCAGGATAATGGTAGTGTGCCACAATTCCTGGCAAAGCCAATATTTCTTTTCAAGAAATATGATATATTGGCCATCATTACAGAGGTTCACTTAAGTGAAGTCGAAAAACTTCTAATGCCACTGTTGATTTATAACAATGAAAATATATCCTTAAAATATGTACATACCTTGCCGCAAGCCAAATGGAGGGCGGTGTTTTTACTGTTATCTTGTAATGTCAGATCTGCACTAGCACTGCTAACCAGCATTTCTGGGAGGAAAAAGTGCATCAGTTCTTATGTTTATGAATATGTTTCTTAGATTATCAATAACTCACTGTAGAGAGATGAAGACAGAGCAAAAAATATCCCTCACAAAAATCTTAAGTGCAAGAAAAATATCGTACGTAATTCATAACATACGTAAGATAATGTGATATAATTGTATGTAACAATTATATTCTTGGGTAAACCAGACACTACCAACAGCAATTAACATTTTTGAGTGCTTACTAAAATACTATTTTAAGTGCTGTGGATTTACAGTGATTTACGTACCCCCCCAACAATCCTAAGTGGGTATCATTATTTTTCTCATTTTACAGATGAAAAAACTAAGGTACAAGCTCTCTTTTAATTTTGAAATAGGACCTCGGTAAGTTGTTCAAGATGGTCCAGAATCTGTGATCCTCCTGCCTCAGCCTCCCAAGTTGCTGGGATTATAGGCATGTACCATTGTGCCTAGCAGAGCCAGAGTTGTTCTTTTTTCTTTTCTTTTTTAAAGTAGCAGGGATTGAACCCAGGGGTGCTTATTTTGAGACAGGGTCTCAATAAGCTGCTTAGGCCCTCACTAAGTAGCTGAGATTGGCCTTGAACATGCAATCATCCTGCCTTACCCTGCCGGGTCACTGACATTCACTGTTCTTAACTGCTTTGTTATGTTGCCTTGATAAACTAACTCTTTATATCAATAAGGGCAAAGTAAAACATTGTTCCCCTAAGTGAAAATGTGGACTGAAGCAGGTAAAGACTTTCATATCTCAGGAATAGTGAGATAATTAGTGGAAAATAGGGTTGGGACCTAAGTTACATAAAATAATTTTTATATTTTAGAAAAACAGAATTCTTAAAAGGTTTCTTTACCAACTGTATTTGTTTGTCCATTTTCTGCAGCCATCATGAGAGGTGTTTTTCCAGAAGAGTCCACAGAATTGACTTGAGCATTATGGCTGAGCAATAGCTGTAAACACTCTACATGGTCTGTGAAGGCAGCTGCATGCAGAGGAGTTCTGTAACACAGAGAAATTGAAATGCATGACTAAATGTTATACACATTGGAAAAAATTATTCCTTACTTATAACAAGCAATTTTAAGGGTTTATATATTAGGCATTTCCTGGATACAAACAGGATCAATGGAGCTTACTAATTTCTGCCACAGAAATCTGCACTTTCAGTAATGTAAGAGGCTTAAGTAAACTAGAACTAGTCTAAAATAAGCATCAATTATAAAACGAAAATAAAATTACATTAGTAAAGAAAACTTCAAAAAGAAATAGATCCTGACCCCAAAACTACTACATATTCAACTGCTGGACTCTTCTTTCAGCTTTTATTGCTGTTCAGAAACTGTTAACCTTGTAAAAACATACTTCTTAAAAGAGGATGAAAATCTTTATATTTTAAAAAAATTAAAAAAGATTGACTAAAACCCAAAAATAATTATAAGAACCCTGGTAATAGTGGGGGAAAAAAGGATTTTATAATAAGTTATACTTGCAAATATGAAATTCAATTTTCAATTAATTATGGCTTTTCCGTAAATTGTTCCACACTTGGTTAGTTGTTAAAATTTTTTCCCTGTAGAGATTTCCTAAGTGAAAACTACATAGTTGAATTCCTACCTTCCTTTTGAATCTGTGGTGTTCACAATGCTGGCACCTAATGAATCAATTAACATCTCAGCAGCACCTTCGTTGTCATTTATCCTGTGTAAGGTAACAAGGTGATCACTCTCACAGCGATGGTAAATTTTCTAAAACACTCAAAATAAATTTGATTTATTTAGGCTTCACTTACACAGCACAATGCAAAGGACTGAAAGCATTTCCTTCCATTTTCTGGAAAACTTCCTGTTCTAAAAGAAGTTCTACACATGTCTCATGGCCTAAGTAGATAAACAAGAACCAGTTATTAAAATCTAAAAAGTACTGGCAAAAATCTCAAATACAAAGAAGTGTCTAAAAGGAAAAAGTACAAATCCACGCCTCCATCCCATCTCCCAGTTCTACTCTAGACTGTAACCACTGGTCCCTTAAGAGTTCCAGAAAATCTCTAGGCATATATGACTACAAGTGTATACATACTTTCTTTTTTATGTAAACTGAGATTTTTTTCCCCCTGCAACTTTCTTTTTACTTAATAAACTATATATGTCCTTTTTTAGTATACAAATCTTATTCTTTAAAGTTCAAAGGCTTCACAGTATCACTGTGTATCAAACATGATTTGATCTGGGCTGGGGTTGTGATTCAGTGGTAAAGTACTTGCCTAGCATGTGCGAGGTGCTGGTTTGATCCTCAGGACCACATAAAAATAAATAAATGAAATATTGTGTTCAACTATGACTTAAAAAAAAAAAGATTTGATCTAACTGGATTTTGAGGTGATTGCTAGTCTTTTTTTAAAAAAACAACACTTTGTGATATTATTAACTAGTCTGTAATGATCTATTCTGGTCCCTTTTACAAAGCCAAGGATTAGTAAAACAAATAACCTACCCACCTACCTGTAGTACAGGTTTAGTATCTCTTATCTGAAAAACTGCTTTACATTTCAGTGTTCTTAAGATTTTGGAATACTTTTATATTTTACTGATTGAGTATCCCTAATCAGAAACTCAAAAATTCAAAATGCTCTGAAACCTGAACTGTAATGTAAGCATTTTGAATTTCAAACTTTTTAAATGAGAGATGCTCAACCTGTAATATTTGTGAAAGGAAATTTTACTTCTTGCTGGGTGTAGAGGTGCATGTCTTTATTCCCAGCTACTTGGGAGGCTGAGGCAAGAGGATGACAAGTTCCAGGCCAGTATGAGCAACATGAGACCCTATTTTAAAATTGAAAAATGATAATAATAATAATGAAAAGGAGTAGAGGTATTAATGGTAGAGTGAGCCTGGGTTCAATCCCTAGTACCCCAAAATAAGACAAAACAAAACAAAAAAACCTGCTTCTTTTATCCTGTTATTCAATTGGGATCTGTTTTAGGAACAAATTTAGATTTCTACAGTCTACTTTCATGGTTTAATAGTTGGCTAGCTAAGCGATGCTGTACTTGGTTAATTACTCTTAATATTCTCAAATAATATCTTGTAACTGTTAGGAAATCTGTGATTGTGCTCCATCTTTTATCAGATCTTTTCTCTAATTTTGTGGTTTTCAAACAGCACAACTATGCCCTTCAGGAGGTATTTGGCAGTGTCTGAAGACATTTTTGCTTATCACAATTGGGGGTAGGAAGTGTTATGGGCCTTGAATGTGCAGAGGGATGCTACTATAGTATCTTGCAGTGCAGTACAGTCCCTCACAACAAAGAATTATCTCAATCAAAATGCTTAGTTTGAGACACTGCTTTTAATTTAATCTCCTTGAATATTAACTCATTACTAAGAAATATCAATGGAAAGATGTTCAATGTTGACTGAAAAGCTTCTCATTATCTTGGCACATGGGTTCTTAAAGTGTGGCCTGGGCAAACATGGGGTGATTTTGAAAAGATATGAAAATTAGATGTAGAGCATGAAAATCCATTTACTCTCTTAAACTAGGCACTAAAGAAATTTGCCAACTCTTCTCACTAAAAAAAGTTTCAAAAACATTCTTCATGAAAATGTTTCTTATGTTAAATTTAATGTATTCATTACTTTAAAAAATAAGCACTGTTAAAACTTCTCAGTTCCAATTTCTAAAACACTATCAATAGTTCTAACTCACAATTATAGATCAAATGGTTTGAAAACTATTTTTTGAGTTAAGCGCAGACTGACAAAAGGGAACTCTGGCTCCTTCGGAAATCATTATTGGGCAATATTCAAACTGAAACAATGACAGAACTAGGCCTCCTGATATTTCAGAGGGCAATTCTGAGGAAGCTTAAAGTTCATTAAGTTTTTAAAAGAATAAATGAGATAATCTAAGTACTCTAAGTTCTGTGATTAAAGGATTATATAAACTGAAATTTAGAACTCTAAGCGTAGTATGTACAGCCAATTCCGTTTTAAGACTTGGCTATCATTTCATTTTTTTAAAAAATATTTTTTAGTTGTACTTGGGACACAATACCTTTATTTTATTTATTTATTATGTGTTGCTGAGGATCGAACCCAGGGCCTCGCATGTGCTAGGCGAGCACTATACCACTGAGCCACAACCCTAGCCCCATCATTTCATTTTGAGAGAAAGGTTGTTTTCTGTTCTATTGGAGTGATCCCAATTTTGTTTCCAGCCATACAATTACTAGTCAAAGTAAAACCATTTTACATATTTGACTTTCAGAATGTTGAATTATAAAGCAGTCTTTTGGCTATAAATATGGTATTAATTTTAGACTGTAAAGTCTTATTACATATAACCAAAACACATTTAATTTCTTCCAACTCAATTCAGAATCACCACAATTTTTCTACAATCTGAAGATCAGACACATCTGTTGATTTTTAAATGGCAACCATGCATGAAGTTTGTGCAAAATTCTATCTCTTATAAAAAATGTACTTAGGACTTGAAGTTTAGCCATCATAGATCAGAAATAATTTTCTACATATAGACCTGAAAAGAAATATTACGAGAGAATAACTCTCTAAACGACAAAGCAGAACATTTATGACTAAATGTATTACCTGAGAAAAAAAAACTTTTGGAAAAAAAATCACAGGTATCATCAATACATTAAAACAATAACAATAAACCCGGTGCGGTGGCGCCCACCTGTAATCCCAACATCTCGGGAGACTGAGGCAGGAGGATTGAGAGTTCAAAGCCAGCCTCATCAAAAGCCAGGTGCTAAGCAACTCAGTGAGACCCTGTCTCTAAATAAAATACAAAATAGGGCTGGGGATGTGACTCAGTGGTTGAGTGCCCGAGTTCAATCCCCAGTACAAGAAGAAAAAAAAAGTAAACAAACCAGATTCATAACAGTTTGATCTCATTGACTTTTTTTCCCCAATTTTTAGTTGCTGATGGACCTTTATTTTATTCATTTATTTATATGTGGTGCTGAGAATTGAACCCAGTACCTCACACATGGTAGGCAAGTACTCTACCACTGAGCCACAACCCCAGCTCCTCCTTGACTTTTTACACAAACAAAATTGGTAGATGTTTTCCCACTATATTAGTTATTTTGGGTTTTCCTCATATTCATAAATGTCAAGTCACATTATAAAAACAAATTAAATTTTAATGGCAAACTACACTATCTTCTTTGAGTTAGGACTAATCTTTGGCCATTACAGTATAATCATTAAATATAAACTTCAGTGAGCTGAAAGGGAAAAAGAAAAGTCAAAGCCTATAGTACTATTTTAGTTAGAGATAAAAGGTAGTAAAAAAGAAAAACAGACCAAGCTAAGCTTTTGGGATTCATAACAGATTTAATTATTTAAGTTTTTTTAATGGTTCTATTCATACTCCGAGTTGAAGGATGAACAACTATAGGATAAGCCCCATCTCCACACCAAAAAGAGAAGAATCTAAACATTTCTGACAGTGAAAGAATGAAACTTTCAAGTCTAGCACAAGAATTGGTATAAAAATGGAATCTAGGAAATCCTATGAACATTTACTTAAACTAATTTTAAAGATTCAGATTTTTCCTTTTACAATAATTCAGTGGCATTGTCATAATGGCTCTCTCAGTAAAAACCACAAGGCTGCAGATTACAGGCAGGGAAAACCTCAATTATTTGGTGAACATATTCAGCTGATTTCAGAACAGATGCAATACTTGAATTAGAGCTTTGTGGACATGCTGTCACAACTAACATTAATCTCAATGTTATAAGTGAAATTCCTAACAAGTTTTAAAAACTTCTCTACCTGAGAAGGCTTAAGCCCAAATTTTGATAGGACTGATGATCACATTGTATGTAATAAATCTGAATGTTTTCTAAAATGATCAAATCTATGGTCTATACAAGGAAAAAAAAATCAATAAACTTCACAATGTAAATTATTTTAGTGAACATTTTTATAAGCTAAACTCCTTTTTGAGAACAATTTTTTGGTAATGGGTGTTGAACCTAGGATTACTCTGTCACTAAGCTCCATCCCCAGTTCGTTTTTTTAAATTTTGAAAACAGGATCTCCCTAAGTTGCATAGGGCCTTGCTAAATTGCTAAGGCTGACATTGAACTTGTGATCCTTCTGCCTCAGCCTCCTGAGCTGCTTGGAGTATAAGGTATATGTTACTACACCTGGTTTCAAACTCCATATTTAACATTAATATCTCAAAAATAGCTTTCTGCTACCCTGAATGACCTTTTGTGGGTTTATCTATAAAAGAAACGACTGTGACTGAGTCTCTAGAAAGCTAGAAATATTCTGTTCTAATAATGCAGAAAAGTTAACCTATGAAAGTTTCTAACATCTTCTAGAGTTTTATTGCTTTAAAACATTGAGCATTCATGTTAATGGTTATAAGGATTTTATCTTTTGATGTGCTCAGGAAACATACATAGATTTCAATTTGGAATGTGATGCATTTCATTGTTTTCCCCACTTTCCTAATTTTTTACTAATATAAGAACATTTAGAAAGTAAAACTACATAATAAAAATACAAACATACTATACAAAAGACACAGGAAATATATAAAACCCCTTAAAATGCAAATTATTGAAGGTCTAAGAACAATTTTTTAAAAGCTATCATTGCTTATCTCAAAGAACTTTGACAACTGCTATCCTGGCTTTTAGTATGATAAAGGATAGGACGTAGCTATATCTGATTGTTCCCTGGCTTCCTACTAAACTTAAATTTTAAGTTTACAAATATATTAATATCAGAATGTATTATAGTTAACTGTCTCTATGCAATAAACAATAGGCACTTAATGCAATTTTTATCTATTACTTAACCATTGTAGCAAGCCCAGTGAAGTGCTGTATATCCATGATTGTCTGCTATGGCTGGATTTGCATCCATAGATGCTGCTGACTGCAAAAGGGCTCCAAGAACACCAATGTGTCCACAGGCAGCTGACAAGTGTATAGGTGTCCGACCCCTGCTATCCCGTAGTAAACACTTAGCACCATGTTGAAGTAATGCATCTACACATTCTTCATGGCCTGTAACTGCCTAAAAGAAAAACAATTTACTTGTAGTCAAATGTATTATGCTGGATGCTATAAGGCAACTTTAGTTAATTTAAAAGTTTTGAAGTCCATACTCCTCATATTTTCCTGCTAACTAGGGCCACTTATTATATTCCAAATAATTCAGTATATTTTTATTAGAAGTGGTTTAAAAATTCAGGTGAAGTAGTAATTCTGTTATAAAGTACTAGTAATATGAAAAACAAGAACAGAGGAGATACCTGTAAGTCAATGAAAATAATAATTCCAAGGTAAAAAGATTAAGATAAAAGTCTAAGAAAATAGTCAAGATAATGGAAAAATGCCAAAAATATATTAATTTTATTCAAGGTTTAAGGTATTTAAAATGTTGTTACAACATTATTGTTCTCTAGATTGTTACATATTATAAGTATTCCAAATTAGTATTTCAAAATTTAATTAAGAAACTCCAGCACTTATTGTTTGATAGAAATTTAATAAAGAAAATAAACACACTCTGCTTTAGTTCTAGGTAATATGAGGTCATAAGAGGTTTTTTTTTGCAAAGAAAACAGATGGCTTACCCCTCTATGCAATGCTGTCCTTCCCCATTTATCTTTGGCATCTACATTTGCTCCTTTGTTCAGCAGTGAGTACACACAGTCTGTATGCCCGTTGAGCACAGACAGCATGAGAGGTGTCCTGAGCAACAACAGAACAGTTTTAGTGCTATCACTTAAGACTGTACTATATTTAAAAAGAACAACAACAATAATAATGTGTTGGCCTGTTTTCTAAATATGCCTTATTGGGTTTAACTGTAAGTATACTTACGTTAAAAACTATTATTTGATTTACTCAGTTACATTACTATGACAGACTTACCAAGGTATGTAGAATAACAAACACCTTAAAAGTAATTTAAAAATTATTAAAACTTACTGTCCATTTCCATCTTGGATATCTACTGCATTCTGTGGTTCTGCATTTCCTATTAACAGCCGTAAGCACTCTGAATGACCATTTGTTGCTGTAAAGTGAAATTTAAAAATTTCAGTAAATACATTTAGAATGTAACTTTGGGGGTTGAATACGTAGCTCAGTGGTAGCATGCCTGCCTAGCATGACTGGGACCCTGGGTTTGATCCCCGCTATTAAAAAAAAAAAAAAAAAATAAGTAAACAAAACAAAGGTATTAAAAAAAAAAAAAAAAAAGGTCTATAATGTAACATTGGGATAATTTCACTAAATTCAATACATAAGAAGGAAAATTAATGTACAAAGTAGGTTTCTACTTGCTCTTGTTATTAAAGCTGAACAGATATGAATTCCTGATCAGAGAAGGCAGGCTGCCTACCAGCACCTATTCTTCAACATGTGCCATACTAATAGAATGTTCACTGCACTTAGCTCTAATAAGAGAAGGTTGAACTGCCTCCAGTCAATGGCCAAAATGAAGTAAATTACATTAGACCAAGTCAATCACAAGAACCCCAATATCCTCTGATAGTGATCAGTTGCAAGATGAGTACTACTTCCCAATTTGACCACTGTGAAGTTGAGAGGCCTAGAAGGCTTCTAAGAAACCCCTTTTAACTCTATATAATGGAAAGCCCCCTTCTTTCATGATTTAGGATGTGACCCTGTAAAGAAATAGCCAGCATCCTGCAACATAAATACAAAGACAAGAGGAGTAACAGAGAATCTGGTGGCAGTCTGACATCACTGTGGAATCAACCAATTCTGAACTGCATCTGCCTCTGGATTATTTTATGTGAGAGATGACTAAACCCCTGTCACTAGTCACTTTCATTTGGGTACCCTGTTATTCATAGTTGAAAGAATTCCAAATGCTGTGTACATATACATGTGTGTGTGTATACAAGAAAAACGACACATCTATAAAGAATATTTTTATATGTCCAAATGCATAAAACAGGCAAGTAGAAGTAGCTCAAAGAAAACATGCAGCCTTAAAAAACTAAGCTACATATGCAAAATTCAAGACTTAGTGGCATTAATCTAATAATATAAAGGCAGCCTAGTTGGATTTCAGTAAAAGATTTCTTCAATTGTATAACTCTTGGCTATTTAAACACTGCCTTAGAGAGTTGTGAATTCCTTCAGAGTTGTGAATCTGCATCTTCTAGTGATACATTCTGGCACCAAATTATCTGAATGACTTTCAGATTTTAGCATTTTTTACATTTGAAAATAACAAAATTACAACTTAGAGTAGTTCTTACATAAAGTAGATGCTCTATAAATTTGCTGTATAATGATAAAAATAACTAAAAATGTTTATCAACTGTTAAATGAAAGCACAAACCAATCTGAAATAGCTCCCATCAGAAGGTAAAAAAAGAAATACGGTACTGTTTTGTGATAAAATATTTCACAAGGTAGATTATTACATAAATCCAATTTCTAAGACATATATTGAGTTTTTTAAAAAAATTAGTCTTGCTGTTGGTTTTCCTCTGAAAATACAATCATTTGACCATTTTAAGTTAAAAAAAATCAAGATATATATCAGGAATATTATATACCAGAAACTGAAAAAGAACATTAGATGAATAGCATAGAATTTGGCATACCTGCTGCATGTATAGGTGTTCGCTTCAAAATGTAATCTTTTACTAAGATTGAGGCTCCCTGATTAATGAGTACATCCACACACTCAACATGGCCCTTAAATGCTGCAAGATCTAAGGGAGTTCTTCCACTACTATTTCTCACATCAAGATCTAACAAAGACTGTACCAACACTTCCAGTGCTTGATGGTGACCATGATAAGCCTAGAAATAAAAAAAAGTAAGTCAATAAAAATACATATTTAAAAAACAATAAAATTCACATATTTAGACTTTCTACATTCTTTTCTTTACTGCTTGACTGCCAATGAGCTGTAATCTCAAGACCAAACACTTTAGAAAAATGTAAAGTAAGCAAAGTTGTCTTCACATCATTATTATATTTGAGATATACAAACTTCTATACTGAGAATTCAGAAAATTAACTATACATTTTTAAAAATAATCAACACAGCACACTATAGTGTTGATTAGAAACAGGTATTCTGCAATTAACAAAAATTTAATTAATTAAAGTCTATGGTTCCAAAAAAGTATTCTTAATCAATAGTTCAGTGTTTCACATTAATTTCCTGATAGACTTTTACTAATATTAGAGGGACAGCTATAGTAATGAATTGAATCAATACTTCAGTCTTTTGATTTCTCAAATTTAATTGACCACTCCATCCCATAATGTGCCACAGTTCAAAAATAAACTTTTCTTTTAGCACAAAAATACTTAATCAAGCTCCGCTCAAACATCTGCCTTGTGCCAGGCATTGTCCTAGCTATATAAGAGTTATATATGAAGACTGTAGACTGAAGGTTCCCCCCTCCCTTCTTTCCTCAATCCATTACTGGAGGTTGAACACACTGTACCAATGAGTTACACTTTTAGCCCTTTTTCTTTTAAATTTTGATATAGGGTCTCACTAAGTTGCTGAGGCTGGCCTTGAACTTATAATCCACTTACCTCAGCTTCCAGAGTAGCTGGGCTTGCATGTGACACACTGGCTTAAGTCTCTTCATTATATAGTATAATAGGGGGCTTTCTTAATAATTCATTTAAAAAGCCAACACGTGTACTCAACACTTACAATGGACTGGATGTTGAGCAGGACATTAGACAATAATAAGCTTTAAAAGACTACAAAGCTATTTCTTATACAGAATATTAGAAAGTTCCAGCAAGAGATGAAGTTGCTCTGGGTCTAAATGATCTCTTTGATGGTTCTATGTAGGAAGTTCAATGACATAAGCTTGACTACCTCAAAGATTAAAGTGACTGTACATCACAGAACACTATTGTTCTATTATCACACCAGTTTTTTTTTTTTTTTTTTTTGTTCTCGGCAGACACAACATCTTTGTTGGTATGTGGTGCTGAGGATCGAACCCGGGCCGCAAGCATGCCAGGCGAGCGCGCTACCACTTGAGCCACATCCCCAGCCCTATCACACCAGTTTTTTTCATCAACACCCAATCACTGAAATTACATTACTGAAAGAATGAACTTTGAGGAACACTGCTGAATGTATAAGAAGAAATTATAAAAAAGAGAAAATAAGAGCTATGAGGCTTTGGTCATAGGGTTGTTGCCCTCCATCACATCCTCACAAAGGACTGGGAAAAAGAATGTGTATGTTTGGTACCAACAAAGTTAGGAATCAAGATTAGTTTCTGTAACCTCAGGTTAGTGTTTTAACTGTATCAGTAGCTCAAATGGGAGGTTAGCATGAAAAATAATACAACTGATTTTTGAGGATGTTTTAGGGTTAGACATGAAATGCAAAGGTGGTAGTATAATCACATTTCATTGAGCCTAATTAGTAAATTATAAAACTGCTACTGTTTCAGCTTAAAACACTATCTAGCACATACATGGTCACAGCAGTACTTATTCAGATAGCCAAGAGATGGAAACAACCTAAGTGTACAGTGATATAGGAATGTATAAACAAAATGTATATACATGCAATGGGGTATTGTTTAGTCTTAAATATGTAAAAAATCCTGGCCATTGTTAAAACATGAAAAAATCTTTTGTTTTTCTTTCTTTCTTTTTTAGTTTAGATAGACAATACTTTTATTTTATATGTCGTGCTCAGGATGGAATCCAGTGCCTCCCATGTGTGAAGCAAGTGCTTACCATTGAGCTACAACCCCAGATCCACAAGATGGATAAATCTTGAGGAGGATGGTATATTAAGTGAAATAAACCAGTTACAAAAAATACTGGATTCAGTATTTTTAGGATTCAACTTACATGGGTTTTCTAGATTAGATTAGTCAAAATCATAGGATAGCTAGAAGGAGGGGGAATAGGGAGCTATTGTTTAATGACTATATACAGTGTTCAGTTTTGCAAGGTGAGAAATGGAGACTGGGAGACTGGATGCATAACAACATGAAAGTATTTAACTCTCAACGTGAAAATATTTAACACTAAAACTCTACTCTAAGACATAACATTGTGCTGGGCATAGTAGTGCATGCCTGTAATTCCAGCAACTGGGGAGGCTGAAGAAGGGAGGAGGATCCCAAGTTCAAAGCTTGCCTTAGCAACTTAGTGAGACACTGCTTCAAAATAAAAAATAAAAAGGGCTGGGGATGTATGTAGCTCAATGGTTCAGCATCCCTGAGTTCAATCCCTAGTACCAAAAAACAACCAACCAAAAAAACCCCATAAACTTTATATTATTTTTTGTTGTTTTACCACCACAAACAAAACAAAACCCTTGATTAAAAACCAAACAACCCCCGCAAAACAAATGAAAACAATGACAACAACAAAAAAACCATATATGCGTGCCCCCCCCCACCCCATAAAACCAATCAATAATCAGTCACTGCATGCTTATAATCCCAGAGACTCAAGAAGCTGAAGCAGGAGAATTCCATGTTCAATGTCAGCCTAGGTAAATTAGTGGCAACCTAGTAAGACCATGTCTCAATAAGGGCTTGGAACTCAGTGGTAAATTGCACATGGGTTTAATTCCCAGTACCAAACCAAACCTAACTACCACCAAAAAACAATAAATGAGACAGGGGTGGAGGGGAGACAAAGTGAGAGTGAGGGAGCACCCACTATTTAATGCAGAACATAGCGTTCACCTACAAGCACAAAAAGAGAAACTTGCCAAGTTGGTGGGGCATACAGGGAAGGGCGGAAAAGAAAAATGTGAAATTTCAAAGGAAATAACATCATTAAACTAATAAGAGAATCCTACAAATTGATAAAAGAATTGCCTTGTCATTTCTTGACACCAATGGCTACTTTCTCTACACTGGTTTTACCTTTTCAGGATTATTTATTCTTCACGTTTGGTAGAGGTGATAAGTGTTTCCAAGGACTCAAATGATAAGGAATAAAAAGCTTTAATATGCCTTCTTATTGAGACCATAACAGGAATTACTACTTCCATAATTCTATACAATTTCATATGAATATAAAAATATTTCATATGGATATGAAATATTCATAAATTTATTTCATAGTACATTGGGACAGAAAGCAGAAAATTCAGTGTGTCAGTGTTAGAACATATATAAGAACATTTAGATGAAAACTAACAACACACATGAAAAGAAACAAATGGGTCACTGAACTTGTAGTGATCCCCATTAAGTCATATATCCTAAAAAGCATTTTAGTACATTTAACATGAGACGTGTCACAATAGCTAGTGATAGTATCCTTGTCTCCTAATTATCAAAAAGATCCCCCCACCCAACCAACTATAATATACTTAGTTTAAAAAATAAATTCTTTTTTCCTGGGGATGTATCTGGGTGGTAAAACACTTGCCTAGCTTTTATGAGGCACTGGGTTAAGCACCAGCCAAGAAAAGCAACGATAATACAAAAACCTCAAAGAAAAGCTAGATTGGGCTTTACTTAATATTTCCTAAGGTACTGTAGCTCGCAAGTTCAAAGCCAGCATTAGCAAAAGCCAGGCGCTAAGCAACTCTGTGAGACCCTGTCTCCAAATAAAATACAAAATAGGGCTCGGGATGTGGTTCAGTGCCCGAGTTCAATACCCAGTAACCTCACCCCACCTCCCACCGGATTTTCCTAAGGTAATTCATTCCCATATTTGATTAAAAATTTTTTTTGGTGAAATTCTTCCCTAACTTTCTGTTAGTGACTGATATTGAGAGGAAAATTCAGAGCGATCTTTAAAGTGGAATGGACATTATAGATCATGTTGTCAAATCCTATAGTGTGAATAACTTAAGTATCACTGAACACATAACCAGTTAGAACCCCAAGATCACAAAGTAAGCAAAAAACTGTAGAAATACCATAGAATTTTTGTTTATTTGTGTATATCATCTGCTTAGCAAGTTAGAAGTCCTTCTACCAGGACAGCATTTGAAAGTTTATGTCACAGGCATATTCTTTTTATTTTAGAGTAGTCCCTGGGGAGAAGCCTGGGAGGGGGAGAAAAAAAAGGGGGAGGGTGAGGGGAGAGTGAGTGAGAATGAGAGGGATAGGGAGAGGGAGAAAGAAAGAAGCAAGCAGCAAATTAAAAACATTTAAGTAAAGAATTCTCTAGATTAAAAAAGTTCTTAAAGTTTTAACTGCATGAAAACTACTACATGAACCAAAAAGTTTAGGGCACTAGTTGAATCAACATAAACAGATATTAGATATTTCAGTAAAGCAGCCATCAAATTGGCTGTGAAGGTAGTACTCACAGCCAAGTGTAAAGGGCTTATTGTTGCTCTGTTATCGGAATCACTCAGCATGTCTGTCCCTGAGGTTTCCATTAACTGAAAAAGAAGGGGTGTTTTTAATGTCAGGAATGAAATTATAGCAATTATTGCTCCCACCACCCTGTTCAAATCCACAATTCAGTAAGCTAATAGAATAGGATTATTACAAAAGTATGGTAAGGACCACATACTAAGATCTTTGAGGAAGGCTGTAAAATCAAGACTTTGGGGAAATATTATTTACCTACCACCAATAAATATCTCCATACCCCCATATATATAATTTCTGCCACTATCTTTGTTCTCAGGGATATGTGAATACATCTTCAGCTTCAATTCTAATGAAGGCAAAGAAATACAACATTCAGAATGGTAGGGGAGAATCAACTAATACTTACAACATCTAAAGGAGTTTCACTCGCAATCTGAAATAAAGGTTAAAAAACAAAATATTTAGTTTATGAAATATATTTATATGAAGTCTCTATTTACACAGGGCATTTTAAACTACTGTTCTAAAACCATATTTTCTTTGAGTCTAAAAGATTAAACCTTTTTAGTAAACAATTATAAATAGATCACAAATCTACATATGTACATCTAAGAATTTAGTCTAAAGATCCATAACCTAAAAAATATGTGGTATTTTTGTTCAGTATTCTAAATGGTTAAAGATATATTAACCTTGATTTTCTTTTATATCCTCTCTCCTTCAATTTTATTGCCTCTTGACGGGAAGCAAAGTTTAATGTAATCTGAATTATAAGTCTATATAAAGGAACCTTTAACCAGAAGCATCTGTTACACAGGAGTACATTTTAACTTATCCCTTAGCTTTTTTTTGGCAAAGTGGGGTGAGGTGAATGGTACATGTTCCAGGATAAACCACAGTGGAAATGAAAATTTCTTTGGCAGAGGAGAGTCTCCCTTATTAAGAGGTACTGTGAAAGGAAACAGCCTTTCAGAATTTCCTAAGAATAAGTGGGTAGAGCGCTTTCTCTCACTGGAGCTTTTATTTCTCACATGAGACATGGTTAATTTTTTAGAAGCTTACAGAAAACATTTATAAATGATACAGACAAACATGTGGGGTAATATAAGGTAAGGATGTAAGTAGACTTTTCCAGAGATTTGCTATTTAATTTTTCATGTTTGAGATTGAGGATTTGGTTGTATTGACAATCAGTACAGATATTTCACTTTGTACACAATTCTTAACACATGTACCGGAAACCTAAAAAACCCAGAGATTTGCTATTTTTGAGTTGGGGGTTTTGCTCTGTTGCCCAGGCTGAATCCAAACATCTGGACTCAAGTGCTCCTTCTGCCTCAGCTCCCTGAGTAGATAAGAGTATAGGTGTGTGGCACTCTGCCCAAATCCTCACCAGAGACTTAATTTTATCCTTTCACCTTGCTTTTTGAAAAGGAAGAGAATGAGTGATAACTTACTAAGAAGGCTAAGATGAATTTTAAGAGTTACATGGATTCTGAAAATTTTAAAAAGCAAAAGAAAGTTTGTTTCTTGAATTATTTATTCTCATTCTCTTTTCTCTTTTCATTATGTAACTAGACCATAAGCTCATATTATTCCTTTAATAACAACTGAGAAATCTTACCAGTTGCAGACATAGACGGTGACCATAAGCAGCTGAATAATGAACTGCATTGTATCCTTGCTTGTCCCGGATCCCTGGATTTGCATCATTTCTTAATAAGTATTCCAGGCACCTATATATAGTAACAAAGGTGAAAATTCTAAACCCTGCATAAAAAAAAAATCTTTATTTATTTATTTTTATGTGGAGCTGAGGATCAAACCCAGTGCCTCACTCATACGAGGCAAGTGCTCTACCACTGAGCTACAAAAATGACAATTTTTCTAACACTTGATTAATGCAAATATCACAACCATATCTATACTATAAAAATCTGTCATTTGAATGATATTCATGGAAGTATAAAAATACCAATGAAATGTACATACAAGAATCTCCATCCTTCAATGTGAATAACTCTAAAGTATATCAGAATGATCAGTATGCCTGAAAATTTTTAAAATAGCCAATATTTATGGCACCATTTACTCTACTCTAAACAACAGGACTAAATTCTTAGTAGTGTTAAGCATATGATGATGGCAATATTATCACTCCTCAAGAACACAGAGTAAATGTAACGTCTCAGGAAGCTCAAGAAAGGATATTTAAACAAAAACAAACAAACAAAAAACCCCTGTAAGAAACAAAGATTAGAACTCAACGATCTTGAATTAGAAAACCAAGAAGGGTAGAAAGAGTAAAAATGGTATGGAGGAAACAAAAAAGGTCTTCATTTTTGTTTATAAAAAAATAAAAAAATATTTTAATAGTTCAATGGTAGAGTACTTGTACAGCATGTATGAGGCACTGGGTTTGATCTTCAGCACTGCATAAAAGAATTAAATAAAATAAAGGTACTGTGTCCACTTACAACTAAAAAAAATAAAAAATAAAAAATAACTGAAGTGTTCATTTCGGTGCAGTGGTACATGCTTGTAATTTCAGCTATGTAGGAAGCTGAGCAGGAGGATTCCAAATTCTAGGCAAACCCAGGAAACTCAGTGAGATCCTTTTCCAATTAAACATAACAAAAACAAAGGGTTCGGGGTGTAGCTTGGTAGTAGAGCACCTGCTTAACATCTGTAGAGCCCTGGGTTCAACCCCCAATTTGAAAAATAAATAATAAATTAAAAAATGACACTGAGGTTATCTAAAAACAAATGGAAAAGAACTCAAGGAGATTCAAGATGGCAGATTAAAGGAAGGCTGAATTTCCACTTGCTCTATGGCTTGGGATTCAACCAGCAGGAGTACTGCTTCTCAGCAAGGTAGAAAGGGCAGTCAGAGTCTTTTAGAGACTCAAAGGTTTGTGTGCACCGAACAAAAAATAAGAGAGTATATTGGAGCCAAGTTAGCTGCAGGAGCAGCAACACTAACTCATCACAGAAAGGAGAGATAACACACAGATAGAAACAATGGACAAATTAAGCACGAAAAACCTGTACATCAGAAAAGTAGCATAAATTTAGCTGATCTAGAGGCTACGCAGCCAATTGGTGACTGTACACACATTTTTCAAGTGGTAAGAAGAGAGTTTGAGGTGGGAGCCATCATGAGGTGGCCATGTATGCATGCATGCAGCTGCTGCTCGGAAGCTAGGTAATCACAGCAAACATCTCCACAAGCATCTACATTGTGGCCTAGGGTGTACCTAGAACAATGTGAGTGAAATAGGTATACAGAAAACTACTCAGGAGGATTAAAGTTAGAAAAAATGGAGGGGAATACAACTTGCCTTTGAGTCTGGTGGCTCACATGAACAGCTCAAGAAGATTGAGAAACTTAAGAGGTGGGCATGGATACATACATTCAGAGACTAAGCCTGGGAAGGTTGTGTTTGTAGGTGGAAAAGTATGTGGAGGATTGGCTCTCCTGCCCTGTGAGTAAAATTCTTGGAAGACTCCTGAAATCTAGACTCCTGACAGATTGGCAACAGATGGGACAGAGAGATATGTTAATCTAATCGTTCCATAGCAGATGCCACCCAACAAAGTTCCTAAGGTTTGATTAGACCTAAACCCCAGCCACCAGAAATTCCACCTCAGATTTTTGCACAGGTGGCCACTGTGATTGCATCAATCTGGCATATGTGGACGAACCCCCAATCTACAGTATTTCCTATGCCATTCTACTTTATACTGGTGGGAAGGGAACTCAGTTATATCAACCAGTTTCAGTTTTAGGTTACCCCAGTAGGCAACACAAAGAGAGAAAGGGGTTAACAATCCCCACCCGACAAATCCCCTGAGCACATGGCCTAAGAAGAATAGGAAAGAAAGATAGTGGGGCATAGGCAGCTGACCAATGGAGATAATTCATTTTTCATTAAGAATTTTTTTTTTTTTAGGTGGGAGGTGTTCTTGCTGTGCTAATTGGTTTATTGACACACATACATATTTCTTTTCTTTTTATAAGTTATTTTTCCTTGTCTTTTGAGGGTTAGAATTTTTTGTTTCACTTGCTGTCTTTTCTTCATTGTTTCTGAACATTCTAAATTTTTTAACCTTCCTATTACATTATTTTCTCTTAAATGATCTATATGTTTACCATCTTTTAGAACTACGTGGTTCATAAAACTCCTGCCCCATCCATTTATGTTGCTGCAGTTATTAATACTGTGGATGACAGGGTTGACACCTGCAGTTTGTTTCAATGCCAGGTCTAGTTCACAGCTATTTCTTGTTTTTGCTGTTGGCAATTTTTGACCCTCTATTGCTTTTTTTTTTTTTATGGTATTAGTGTTGCATATGTCATAGTAGGCATCAGGTATTTATTTTAATCCTATATATTGTTTTCTTAAGTTTCTGGAAATCTACAAGGACATTGAAAGTTCACTGAATAGAGATTCTGCTGCTGAATAAAACCCAGCCAAAGGATAGCACAATTTGTTTCACACACAAATTAACCATACTCAGAATTTTAATACAAAGACCAGAACAGACAAAACCCCCAAGCCATTTCCAAGTAGAAATTCCCACTCATGGATGTCTACTCCTACAGCAAAAACAGAATACACACAAAGGCTATGGATACCTCATCTACTAGAGTTCTCAATCTAGATCTCTCTAGGAAATAGTGGCAAGAGAAGGCTGAGCCCTAAAAAAGCCCACACAAAAGAGTGAAAGAGAAATCCACCCCAACAGGTGCATAAAACCATAAAACCCAACATAGAAATACAAGAAATATGAAGAAACAGGTAACTCAACATTTCCTGAAGTTCATAATATACCAGCAACTGACTCTATAAGAGAAAGATAGTGGCCAGCCCATGAACACAAAAACAGTATTAAAGAAGAGAAGTAACCAAGATCTGAATGTACAAGAACTCTGGGACAACATTAAGAGACCAAATTTAAGAATTATTGTTATTGAAGAGGCTGTATGATACAGACTAATGGCATGGATCACCTCTTCAGGGAAAAGATAATAGTAAAACTTCTAAAATTTGAGAATGGGATGGACATCCAGAAGCATGACACATTCAGAACCCCAAAGAGACAAGATCAAAAATGAACTTCTCCATATCACATTATAATTAAAATGCCTAACATTATAAAAGATAGAATTTTTAAAATAGAGAATACCCACTGATCTTTGATTTGACAGAATCCACATTATTGAAAGATAGGTAACAAAAATTGAGCTTATAATAAATTTGACAAATGAAGTTCTTTAAGTACCTATAATATTACATAAGAAATATCAACTGAGGGGCAAACAAAATTATCACATGCTTCTGGTAAAAGGGGAATTCAATCTGTAGGTGAAGTCCAGAATATGTAGCACATTTAAAACCAACCAACCAATGACACACACCTAGATAAAACACAATTAGCTTACTTGAGTGAAATGTTTTTCCTTTTAGGAGGAAGGAGAAAGAAAAAGTGGTAAAGAGGCAAGAATTCAAAGGCATATGTAGAATGGCTTCTCCATTTCAAAATGGTAATAAAAATATTTAAATCATGGCACCAGGGAACCTCTGAGGAAAAGAATACCTTAAACAGAGTAGGCTCATTGCATAGTTTTTAGTAATAAGTACAATTTTCAAGTTGAAGTAAATGTAAAGAATAATTTCATTTTAATAGTGGCTATATTGTTTTTCTTGTTGTCCTCTGGGGCTAGATCTGCTTCAGCATGACAGGGACACTTTTCCACATGGTTTCTAGGGAACCATCCTCTTATTCTTGGAACATCTACAAAGGAATCACCCAGAATTCTGTCTCCACATAAGCAGCATTATAACCCTGTGGCTAAAATAAATGAACTCCCCTTTTTTTGTAGCTGTATTTGAGGGTTCTCAGTGTAAAAGATTATGATGATTTTGTTTCATTTATTCAATGGACAGTAGGCATGACTATAATCTTCTATGACTTTATAGCAAACACTTCTGACCCTCTCATATGCTTTTTGTTTCCACTGTTCTATTATTAAACTGTAGTGGCAACAGTCTTCTCTTATTGGCCACTCCAATTCATTTTCTGGGACCCTTGACTATGTAAATACCTTTTTAAAGTTCTTCCAACTACTTTCCACATCATAGGGGAAAACAAAAGACTGCATCTAATTGGTAATATTGAATTTGATCTTTAGCCTTTTCTTCAGTCCATGATTCAAAATGTTTTGTTTCTAATTTTTTTTTTTCACTTGGATAAAAACCACAATCCTAATAGCTATGGTTGTTTCTAAAGTTAATCCCAAGGCAAACAAGGTGGCAGCAAATGCAACTAATTCGAAGGGAACAACTGGAAGAGGAACTCTCTGGGCTGCACTCATTTCAATCTTTACTGTTTTCCACTCAAAGGACAGCCAATTATAAGTTGAATGTACACAGTGATAACAAAAATGAAAGCAGCATGAATAAAACACAGTGGTGCTCAAAGAAAAAAAAGTATGAACAAAGCATGATTTTGGTAACCACAACAGTTATTGATCCAAGGGTGATGATGGTCCATTTTCATCAGACATCTGTTACATGTTCTGAAATGATATAAAGAAGGTGCCTTGTATGTTTGGCAAACAAGCTAACTTGAGTTTTCTAGTTTCCACACCAAAGGAATAAAGCTGCGAGAGACAAATATGGAGTTGAGCCAGGTGCTGTGATGCATGCCTGTAACCCCAGTGACTCAGGAG